GATATGTTCCGCTGCTACCTCAGCCTCATGATCGTCACCACTCGCCTGAGTAGCAGTATCCGTATCTGCAGAAACATCCTGTTTGGTATCTGTAGGAATACCAGAAGCTGCAGCACCTCTATTTTGTGGATCTCTACAATGATGTCTTCCTGGTTGGTGTTATCAACTGGTAGTACATTATCTGACTTTGGTTGTGGTCTAGATCGTCTTGGCCTTGGTACAGGTTTGGGTCTGGATGATGGAGACTCTGCTTCAGGTGATGACTCAAGCGTTATCAAAGCCATGAAGAGTGCCAATTGGCAAAGAGATTCCTATGCAAAGTCTTCTGTCGACCTTCACCATTCTCTTTCTGCACTACAAAGACAGGGAACATCTTGATTAGGCTGGGACAGAATAATGTAAGGATCCTCCTCCCACTTGTCCGAGCTTATGTTTACCATCAAATGCCAATATCTTTACTAGTCTGCAGCGATCTCCAGTCTGCAGTGCGGCTCCCTCACCATTATGTCATATCCTTTCTTCTGCCTGTCACGAGATGTTTTAGCTGAAGCCAAAGCTAGTTCATATGAGTCCTTCAATCGTTTTCTGAGTGATCTGGTATACTCAGTGAGTGACGTCTGTGTCATTCAAGTTCTAATCCAAAGGCAAGATCGAGAGGGAGACGTGGTTCTCTACCAAACATTAAGAAGAGCGGTGACTGTCCAGTTGAATCATGCCGTGTGCAATTATAAGCATGTACGAGAGGCCCAATGTGAGATTTCAATCGCTTTTCTTGTCAGGGGACAAAGTTCCTAACATGTCACATAATGTGCGATTAAACCTCTCGCACATGCCGTTACCCATGGGATGATATGGTGTTGTTCTGGATTTCTTCATGCGGTTAATAAACACAATTCCTTTATAAGATTTCCATCAAAGTTGGCACCTTGATCAGAGTGTATGGCTGTGGAATCCCATAATGCACGATGAAGTTGTCAAAGAAAGCTTTTGCTGTGGCTTTGGCTGTCATGTTGTTGGTGACATATGCCTGTGCATATCTGGTGAAGTGATCCGTGACAACTAACACACAGTGTTTGCCTCCTTTGCATGGTTCAAGGTCCAAAGAAATCCATTGATACTAACTCTAGTGGCTGAGTTGTTTCAATTCCTATGAGTGGAGCTCTCTGGTTGGTTGGAGTCTTCCGGCAGATGCATCTCCTGCAATTTGTAATCCATTCATCAACGTCTTTAGACATGCGGGCCAGAAGAATCTGTCTCTCAAGAGAGACAAAGTTCGGTCTCGTCCTGGATGACCCATATTGTCATGAAGGCCTTCTAATGCATCTTTGATGTACTCAGCTGGTAAAACTAACTGCTGTCTAGTTTGTCCGTTAATTGACACTTCTCTGTACAAAATTCCCTGTTCAAGATGAAGATTCCTAGAGATCTTGAGCAGTGCTGAATGAGTAAGGGGAATCACAGAAATCCTGTCTCCTTGGTTTGTTGTTGGATTGTAAACATCTTGTCCATTGTCTCAAGATAAGGTCCTGGTACTGTGCCTTTCTCCAGTCCGTTTTGACATCCTGGCTAAAGGGACACCAATAGTGTCTAAGTTCTCTTCCAGAGTAGCGTCAGCCTGCAAACATAAACTCTCAACATAAGGTTGGGTATGAATGACGTTGCACACAGCCTTTACAGAGTCGCCTGGCATATGCTCATGTCCTCCACTTGTCTCTAGTTCTGGTAGACGTGACATACCATCTGCATCTGCATTGCTGATTCCAGGCGGTACTTGATGTCAAAATCATAGGCTGCCAAGGATGCTAACCATCTATGTCCTGTTGCGTCAAGTTTAGCTGAGGTTAGAATATAGGTCAACAGATTGTTATCTGTATAAACTCTGAACTTGGTACCATAGAGGTAATCGTTGAACTTTTCAGTAATTGCCCACTTCAAAGCCAGGAACTCAAGACGATGTGCAGAGTAGTTCTTCTCAGCTTTGTTTAGTCCTCTACTGGCATATGCAATAGCTCGCTTCTTTCCATCCTGCTCTTGATAGAGGACAGCGCCCAGTCCATGTGTACTAGCATCTGTATGGAGCTCAAAGGTAGGCTGTAGTCTGCATAGGCTAGAATAGGGCCGGCGAAACCAGAAGCTGTTTTAAGTGATGGAATGCCTTCTCTTGCTCAGATCCCCATATCCACGGCTGTTGGGCAACTTTCTTCCGTGTTCTCTTTGTCTGTGTTGGTGGAGGCATAAGACTTGACAGGGGCTTGGTGATTGCAGCAAAGTTCTTCACAAATCTCGGTAATACCCTGCAAATCCAAGAAACTGTCTAACCTCTGCTGGATTCTTTGGTTGGGGCCATGTCTTTATCTTTTCAACTTTAGCCGGATCTGGTTCAATGCCTTGTCCTGATAAAATATGTCCTAAGAACTTGATCTTGTCTTTGAAGAAGTTGCACTTATCTGGAGCGAGCTTGAATCCGCAATCTCGGGCCTCTTAAACACCTTCTTTAGCCTGTCCAGATGTTCTTCAAAGGTATCCGCAAAGACAATGGCGTCATCCATGTAGATAAGGCATATCTTTAAGTGCATATCTTCAAAACAGTCATTCATGAGGCGTTGATAAGTGGCGGGACTGTTGCACAAACCAAAGGGCATCGGTTGAATTCAAAGAATCCGAGGGTCCCTACGGAGAAAGCAGTTCTCTCCTTGTGATGTTCTTCTAAGTCAACATGGTGGTATCCGCTCTTCATGTCCATTGTGGGTAGAATTTTGATCCTCTAAGTGTATCAAACATCTCCTCAATCCTAGGGAGAGCGTAGGAATCCTTAATAGTCCTCTGATTTAGCTGTCTAAAATCAATGCACATCCTTAGAGTCCCATTTCTCTTAGCGTACTAATACCACATTGGAAGACCAAGGTGATCGTGATCGACGGATGACTCCACTTGCTAATAGTTGGTGCAGATGATCTCTTACTTCAGCATGCATAGATGGCGGAATTCTCCTATGTCGCTGTTTAAAGGGTCGTTCATCTATGAGATCTATCCGGTGTTTCACTGCACTAGTGTGTCCAAGGTCAGATCACCATGAGAGAATATGTCCAAGTAGTCCGAGATAACCCTTAATCCTCTTCGCATTGAGTGCCTGAGATCTGTGAAGTTTCTATATCCATCCTATTAAAGAGTGAATCCTTGTCCTGTGACACATCTGTCATAGAAGGCTGTTCTTCAACATCAACAGGCTGTATCTCACACAGAAGGGCACGGGGTTGAATGACTACCATTCTTGTGGTAATATTTGAAATGTTGACATCTACAAATCCTCTCTCTCTGTATGTTATCAAGCTGGGTGAGATGTCAAGATCATCAGGAATAGCTGAACGGCTAGTACTTTGCAATATAGCACATGTATTGCGGTAAGGAAGTGCCTTGTCAATGTAGCCAGTGATAGTGACTTCTGAATTGGGTGGGATGACAACCTTCTTCACTCCTGCACACTTGACTAGTCCGAGCTTAAATTCTCGTCGAACAAGATCCCGTTCCTGCAGTACCATACACCTAAAAGCTAAATACCAAGGTGTATAAAGGTTGGCATCTTGCAGAAACTTCTCCCCATGTAGTTGTCTACAGGTTCCTAAGTAAACATATTGGTCCCAAGTAAAACCGGTACCTTGTGATTATAGTTGCTTGTAGGAACAACAAGCAGAAGACATGGCTGGCGTTCAGCATCAATCCCATTAACCTCTAAGTCCAGCTGAATGTAACCTGAGTATGGCAGGGGCTGTCCATCAGCACACTCAATATCCAAGACATTTGTGATTGGGGTGATAGGAATACCTGAGAGATACTGATCATAAAATGCTTGATTCACAGTAGAGACTGTAGCTCCTGTGTCCAATAAAGCCCTTGTCTTGATTCCTTGAATACAGACATCAACTTCATTGGCATTTCCTACAAGTGCTGTTGTTTCATATCTCTGAGTACACATCTGTCGTCTGTTGAGACCTATGGACCACCCCTTCCATAGGCGTCTCCGTTTAAATGCTGACGACTGTGATCCATCCTGACTCTACATCCTGAGGCTATATGCCCAAACTGCCCACAACGAAAACACTGCACATCTCCCTCAAAAGGTTGTCCTCTAGATCTTCCTCTGTATGATAGATGATCATACTGATGTTTCTGGAAAGAAGGTTGAGAATAATATCCAGTGTTGCCCTTGTCAGTTTGATTATAAGTCCTGGAGTTAATGTTATCTTGTTCTCCGGTAGGCTGTTGATAGTGATACAGAGGAGGCTGCTGCTGTTGTTTCTTCAGAGATGCGACCTCAGAAGTAAGGCTCTTGATCATTCCTCGAAGTTCCTTCATCTCTGTTAGAGTGGGTGTTTCAGAAACAGCAGACATACTTGTGGCAGACAGTTTCCCTTTAGTTCTACCTTCCCTCTCGTTGAGTGTGCTTTCGCGCTCAATCTGTCGAAGTTCTCGTCGCAAAAGCGTCAAAATCCGAAAACAGATCAAACTTGTGTCCGCTGACATCTTTGATTGATGGCTTAAGTCCTGCCCAAAGCATGGAATGAAGGAGCTTGTTGGTGTCTAGAGCTAACCTCACCAGCTTCTACCGCTTTACTCAATAAAATCTTCTAGGCGACAACACCAAGTGTTGACATCCTCATCCTCCGGCTGTCGTGCTGTGTAGAAGGCCGCCGAATGCGTTTACGGGACTATCACTTGTGTCAAAACACACTTCAGTTTATCCAAGAGAGCAAAAAGACAAGCGGTGGAACCTAATCGCATGGCAACCCTTGCTGCCTCCCCTCTCAAAGACTTCCTGATCGAATGTTCGATTGTCGCCCTTGTATGTGCTTTATCCTTCAATATGCAATCCACTTCATATCTCCATAGGTCATAAGACACGTTACTTTTAGTTTCATCTCCGGAAAAGCAAGGTAAACTTGGAGGGTGAGATACAGTAACCACCTGAGCTGCTGATAGGGGACCAGGATACTGAGGTTCAGAGTCATGTGAAACACCTTCTGTTTTCACAGAGCCAGCTGAATAATCAGCCATCCATTTTAACAAACTTTCTGGGGAATCAGCCTTAGGTTTTACTTTAAGCTGCTTGAATGTTGCAACAAGTTGAGCAACTTCCTCTTCTGACATATGTTCCAACATGTCTGTTAGTAGTACTAACAGCGAGCAATGAGCGAAATGTTGGGGAGGGGAACAACACTAACTGTAAAGTATGGCACAGTTAGCACAGAAGAAATATGAATGTGGTGGATCACCACAGCGCAGCAAAATGTTCTACCGAGAATGAAAACCTAACCTTCAACATGGTACTGAATATGCTATACTGGTGCAATGGTTAGTCATGATGTGCAGGTGTAAGCTTTGCGACCGCTGCAGATAAACACACACAAAAGGAAGAAAAGGACAATATATTCAAGATGAGGGACCAAGAAATAAACCCAGAAGAGACAAAAAACAAACACTTTATGACCAACTGAGTTATATGACCAACAAACACCAAAAATACTTACCGGTTTATGGATTGAATATAAACTGATTTAAGTACTTTATTGTGGAACTACATTATACTTTAAATGTTTATTCAAGGTATTTGAGTGATAAGTAGGTGCTAATCAGGCATACATCATTCGCACAAAAAAACAAATGTATCATCCCGACAAACAGATGTTGAACATCAACTAAATGCGATATACCAATAGAATACTTACAATATCACAAATAGCTAATCTCAAACTAACTAATAAACTAACTAAGCTAATCTGACCAGTAATGACTACCGGTAACTACAGGACTGGGTGAGCTGGGTATATTGCCGCTGTGAACAATATTTCAGTTATATCACGGCATGTCAGCTTGATGTGTGAGGGAAACCCTAAGTGATGCAGGGTCAGACGTTTACCACTCAGTGCAAACCACGATATAGAAACATCAGTGGAACTAACTGGGATTAAAACCCACGACCACTGGAGATAGAGTGTCTGAGGTCGTTGTCTGTACAGCAAAGTTCTGAGACGTTATATGGCTGATCCGCCTGTGCCCCCAACTCAGGGACTGTTTAGTTTATGCCCTAACTTCTAACTGCCTACTGACATAGACAATATGTCTACTGATGATCTAATGAGAGAACAATCAAATAAACTAATTACTGACTATCTACTGACAAGACTAATAGATACTCTAACTAATGACTATATACTGACAAATCTAACATGATGTGACTAATGACCGGCCGGTATGATCAACACTATGTGCACTGCGCAAAAAAAACTCGGAAAGCAAATACATAACAGGCAAATTCTGAAATATTGCATTGCATACAAGAACATAATCCAAATTAAATGTTGGTTAGCTTGTTCACAGCATAGTTATCCTCTTCTCTTCATATATATAAATGTCATTCACAAAACGCACAATGGGATATACAGAATGTGACACGCGTTTCAATCACAGTCAATATCACTTGCACAATACAAGAGTCTCAAATATCTACAAGCCAAGTAGTAAGCTCAAGGCCGAAACTCATGTGTAACAAAGTGTCTGGTTGTGTACCGTAGTGTTACATTACTTGGTCATTACGGTTCCCTTCCATCTATGGAAAGTTGATGTCCATCATTGTCCCTTGTCACTGGTTGCATCACTGTTACTTCTGAACATCTACATCCTGCCGACGACGCCAATGTAACCGGAGTGGTTTGGTATATACCACAAAGGCAAATAGTTTTTTGTAGATGTCAGTTTAATGGCAATAACTGAAGAAGGCCCTGTAAAAGAATAAATACATTGCATCAAAATACGTTACAATACTTCATGGGCCAATACATGTGAGGCTTAGCAATAAGTACTGCAATCATATATAATCACTATTCATTAATCAGGTCTCAGAGTAGACATGTGTATATGTATATAATGACTATATTTCAAGATACGTGTAGCATCATACAAGTACATAACATGATTATTTACAATATAATATGAAAGAACCCTCACCGAGTGTATGGCACTGTGCCCGTTACCGTCACAAACGTTAGGAACTATGTTTGCCACACCTGAACATAAACATATACAAATCCAATAATATATAACATTCTACATCTGTACATTATCAATCTACTGTACATAAAATATCTGTTCTAATAACCCATCCCATCATACATACATTCATTCATACATGCAAAGTTTGGCGCATTAGTTTAAAGAAGTAGATGTATACATTAGGTTTACCTACACAATAAGTTAGATAACATCCTCGTGGGAATGCTGTCTAAGATTACCTGCAATACACTTACATATATAAAGTATTGCTAAGACCTAGTTATGTTGCATGTAACAGATAGTTAATTTGATTAATATTTACCACATATAACATGATACATGCTTTAAAGGAAGCTAAGAAATAATACATACACACTAAACATGAAAACATAAAATACACAATCTAAATATAAACTAACCTGTTATAAGCTGTTGCTAGCTGTGACCAGTGACCAGACAGACTGAAGTGAAAATGATAGCTGACCCACTAAACACCCTGCTATTGAAACTAAGGGGCCTGGGGCTGGGGCAAGACAATAGAGACAATAGACAACGTAAGCGCAAGGGTGACAGTGCTATTGTGAAAGTGAAGCAGGTTAGATTGAGTGGTTAAGCTTGGGCTAGACTTACTGATTAAAATACAAATTAAAATACACTTGCTTATATATACATAATTACATACTCCTACATTAATAACAACTGCTTTATTTTTCTGTCTCTCTTTATAATTTCGGCTTTTTATTTATTTATATCATATTTTAATCTGCTTTTATTCTAAAACTACCTAAGTTTAATCTCCCATAATTTACATTTTTTTGGGTACGGTGGTTTATCCCTATTACTACATTATTAATTAATTTATATATCAACCCCACCTACCCCGTCGGCGACATTGGCCACGCTAAAAGCCGACGTAAAACTTCAAATTTCGTTCGTTCGTTTTCAGATTTATTCACTGTTAATTATCTCTAGGCCTACATGTTGATGCTTGACACTGAGGAGCAATTAGTGCCCATAATCCGATGAAAAGACCCTTAAGCCCATAACAGCACTTTGGGTACTCACATTCAATCTGCTCATTTCCACCTTTCACGGTCCCCTGTGATGTCGGCAATGTAAACAAATAAAACAATGGCGACCGGATCACGTCCACGCGAGACTACCTAAATCATTATAAAAACACACAGCTGACATTTTAGCTGTATAGTTTATGTTTATTTTGTTGTATAACGCGGAAAGATATTGTCAAACTGTAATGCTAGAATTAGATTAAAAACCAACAACAAAGTGTTTTTCCCGTGAGTCTTTGCGAGACGCCATTTTAATAGCCGCCTCAGTTTCCCTCAAAGCACTGGAAGAGAGAATTCGCTACCTGGAAAAGAAAGATGGAAATGGCTGCGAAAAACTCGCAGTACCACGACCCTGTCAGGTAAGACCAATTTATTTTGTTGTCAAATAACGTTTAATGAATTATTTACTTTACGTACAGAAATCTGGATTGGATTGGTAAACAAGCTTGATATTGTTCATATTTTGCACATGGGTCATGAATCATCTCAGCTACAAAGACATAATTTCCGTTTTAATTTCAATTCAGTGCGTGTCATGGTTATGTCAATTTTTAACATGGCGGTCTATGGGGAAAGAATACGCAATGTTGTATATATGTTGGGATACGGTGATTTCGTAGACTGAACCAGTTCGTAGATGCAGTGGATTCGTAACCCAGACTGGTTCGTAGACGGTGATTTCGTAGACGTGTATTAATAATTGAATAATAGTATATATTAAGTTTGATTTTTACTTAGAATGTCTATCACGAAGTTGTTATGCTTTGTTTTCAGTGATACGAAACTAAGGGCAGCTAAGGACAAGAACGTGTGATTGAAGAGTGAACGAATATTTTCCCGTATCTTGTCTAGACTTGTTTTACATGTATTTGTATTTGTATATGTAGGGTTTGTGTTGTATTATATTATATTCGGGAGAATAGTCCACTCGACTTGAAGCTGATGGTCGTCGGGCATGGGTTGGGGTTCCGGGTCAGCGATAGAACTAAAATAATTTTACACACAACTGAATTTAATATATTAACGGCCTATGAATTTGTCGGACATGGACCACTGTGAAGCATATTTTATTATTTTAAGCATATTTTCACCGCCGATCATACTAACCTGATATATTTTATTTATTTCACAAAATGCAAACACTTTTCGTCGATTTTCTTCATCATTGAGGTTGAACTTTTCCCATTTTAATAACGTCTACGAATCCACCGCTCAATCCTTCTACGAATCAACCGGATTTCCACGTCTACGAACTAGTCTCGTCTACGAATTCACCTATATGTTGCTCATGCAACTAATATGCGGAAAATTATGTATCTGTGACCAAGATCATTTCCTAACAACCTGCAAAATTTGACAACCAAATATGGAAAACTGAATTAATCAAAATTACACAGCTACACTAAAGTAGCATGCAAGTCTATGAGAATTTTGCCGACGGACTGTATAAACTGTTTTGCTCGAACTAAGGTTGGTGAAGTAAAATAAGTCTATCTATAAATATACTACAATTTTGAAAAATATAGCAAATAGATTATATATTAATGGATTTGGTTTATTCATTTAGGCTGTAGTGAGGAAACATGTGTCACGACTACTCCTGGAGGAAAAGATCACCCTCTCTTACTGAAGGTATGTGTTTATGGTACTACGAAACATAGACATAATTTCACTTTGAATATTTTATTATTATGCTTCCCTAGATACATTTTCACAAAATGAACCATACAAAAGTTACATTTGCAAATGGATTTGAATAACCGGTAACTTAATCATGATTTCAAATTGGACCAAATAAATCTTAACTTCACACCTGTGTGAAATTGCAGTCAAACTGACCCCTTGATTTTACAATACCGTAATTACTCCAAGGTTATGTCACATGAGATAACTAAACTTCATTCATCAGGATGTTTATATCAGGCCGTTCACTAACTGATTGCATAACCTAAAGTGATAAATCTGTAGTTTGCTTGTTGGTATAAATGTCGCTGCAGGTTTTAGGGTTTTTTTAAAACTCGAATGAATGAATGGGGAAATGCAAAGAAAAGTAACGTGTTATTGTTTATTGATGATGAGTCTGGAGACTGTATAACAAATGATCAAGGATGGTCAGCAGTAACATGTGAAGGTAATTGTGACCTATCTGTAGTGACTTTCATTATAAATAGTAAATAATTTCCAATTAATAGTGTAGAGACAAGGTTTATGGATGTCAACTCATTTATTATGTGAAAACATGTTTCAGAGTGAATGCTTACCCCTTCGTCAGGTGTAAGCATTCACTCCGAAACATTGTGTTTTCACAAGACGTTGACATCCGTAAACATTCATGTCTTGCATTATTTACTTCTAAATACACCTCAAAGACTTAATGGTGTAAACATACAGTCACTACTGGGTGAATATTCTTGTGCCTTCAACAATACGACTGACTGACTGAGTTTGGTTTTACGCCGCTTTTAGCAATATTCCAGCAACATCACGGCGGGGGACACCAGAAATGGGCTCAATACGAACTGTAAAAAAATTGAATATAGCAATTTGATGAAAATCTATTACTAGTATCATTATTACTATATAGAAAATGCAATAAATGTTCACATATATATATATAACGTATTACTACCTCTGGACTGGGAAGCATGTAACTTCAGAGCAAATTTTGTATAGATTGTGTGTCCTCTTTAGAAAATAAGATATTTGATTCGGTCAATGAAGTGTGATGAATTGCATAATTTGAGTTTTGAGAAAACTAGTGCAAAGTGTGATTGTTCAATTTAGTTCTCTTTTATTCAAACTTCCTTTTGCATTACTCATTTTAAATCATCCTTGGCATTGTCAGTTTCTTGTTGATTGATGTTTGTGTAATTTATCAAAATAACCTAGTAATTCGTTATTACCTGCCATTTTCAGAAACTTGCACAACGCCTAAACAGACTTGCATCTATCGATTGGCCAGATAGACGAAAGAAAAAGGTAGCGACAACACTCACCATAGACATGACATCACCAGTCGTGAGTGACGAAGATGACGTCAATTACTAGTAGTTGCATTCCGTCCCCTTTGTCTGGGAGTCCAGCAAGCTTAGGGCATACACGACGACACTGGACTTGGAAAGAATCTTACACCTCCACTGCTCTCGTCATGGCCAACGTGAGGATGAGGATGAGGCATCCAATCAACCGGAGGGATCTCCGCCCAGGGATGCCCCTTATTGGGCTAACTGACCAACTCTTGCAATATAATTGAATTTATTTTCAATTTCATAATGTAATTTTTATTTTATTTTTGTATTGTAAGCTGTATGTTGTGTTATTGTATGATGTATATCATAGTGGATGTTTGGCGATAGTTGTGACATAGAGTGTGTGGCTGAATGCCAAGGCGTGCAAATAAATGTCCGATGCAGCTATGTTTTATTACTGTGTTAAGTTGTATGTTAATGTTATTTTTCACCATTAGCATGATTTAGAAATAAATTTCATATCTAACATGCTATTTCAAGATAATAAGTGAATGAAAGTTTAACTGATGAAAAATCACTACTTTGTTATAAATGATATATGATTTCTTAAACTGGATTGAGTTATGCCAAAATGCTTTGCCCTGTTTTTTTAGTGCTATATTACTAGTTATATGTATGATCTTTATTTGCCTTAAATGCTAATTCATTTTCATGTTGAGAAAATAACACAATGAATCGTATTATATATTCTGTTTTTCTTTAAGTAAATGTCATGATAACAAATTGCTTATATTGTTTTTAACAAGAGTTTATGATATGAATAAAGAAGAATGTTTAAATTTGGCTCTTTGAAACGCATATGAAAACCTGTGAACCTGAAATTGAAACCGGTAACCGAAACTATGCGGAAACTATGTCGGATTGTTGGTAACTGAAACTCTGCGGAAACTATGTCGGATTGTTGGTAACTGAAACTCTGCGGAAACCTGTTGGAGTCTTATTAATAACTGAAACCTTGCGGAAATCTGATGGATTCAAAGTTAACTGAAACTCAACGAAAACTTGTCGGAGTGTGGGTAACGGATACCTTGCGGAAACCTGTTGGAGTGTGGGTAACGGAAACCTTACGGAAACCCTTAGAAAGTGGGTAATTGTAATTTTCCGTTATTGCGGAAACTCAATGTAAAAGAACGGAAACTCACTGGATTCTAGGTGGAAACTTAAGTTTCAGTCCACTCTCCACCAGGTTTCCGCAGTTGCGGAAACCAAGTTATTTTTGCTGTGTTGAAACTTTCGTGAAAATGAAGTGTGCACCTCTCCTTTCTCAATAGTGTGCGCACGCACGCACGCACACACACACTCAGAAAGCTGTATCCGTCCCTGTTAAGGGTAATAACAACTATTATAATCTTGGGAAGGGATACCTTGATCGTAGAATGTAGAATGACCTACCTGGGTAGAGGTGAGATTTAGGTTGCACCCGGCGATGTAGTTGGTGTTATTTGCCTGTGCACTTCCGCCAGAGAAAATAGCCATCACTTGAAGCCTGTACAGATTTGATCCTATTTTCTGTAAAAATGTTTCCGTCGTATTTTTATTGTCTGAGCTATATAACTGTGAACTGTTGGCTGGACAAATTAATAGAAGAAACATAATGAAGGATCATGTCTCAATAACTATCAGGACATTACTTACCTCTACGCCACAGTCTGGCTTCTGATTGGCTAATCCGTCAGACAGGTCAACTGTCAGGATGTAGGGGTCACTGAATGACCCTGACCCTATGACTGATCCTGCACTGAGACTACATGTTGAACGTCGATTGGCGGCGAACAGGTCACTTGGTTCAAGGTCACTAGTGGAATACACGAACTGGAGTATCTTTGCCGTCTTGTCACATCGTGGAAAGGCTGAACAATAATAGGACATTGGTGACTGATTGACAATAATAGGACATTGGTGACTGATTGACAATAATAGGACATGGGTGACTGATTGACAATAATAGGACTTTGGTGACTGATTGACAATAATAGGACATTGGTGACTGATTGACAATAATAGGACTTTGGTGACTGATTGACAATAATAGGACATTGGTGACTGATTGACAATAATAGGACATGGGTGACTGATTGACAATAATAGGACATTGGTGACTGATTGACAATAATAGGACTTTGGTGACTGATTGACAATAATAGGACATTGGTGACTGATTGACAATAATAGGACATTGGTGACTGATTGACAATAATAGGACATTGGTGACTGATTGACAATAATAGGACATTGGTGACTGATTGACAATAATAGGACATTGGTGACTGATTGACAATAATAGGACATTGGTGACTGATTGACAATAATAGGACATTGGTGACTGATTGACAATAATAGGACATTGGTGACTGATTGACAATAATAGGACATTGGTGACGGATTGTTACCATGACACAGTGCTCAAACCTAATACGAAGTAAAGCCCGTGAAGATCCGGGATAGAATGTGTCTTCATTAACCCATCCCTGTCGTAAGAGGCGGCTAACAGGGTCGGGTAGTCAGTCTCGCTGACTTGGTTGACGCATGCCATCGTATTCCAAATGCGTAGATCGATGCTCATGATGTCAATCACCGGACTTTCTGGTCCATACGCGATTATTTACAGACCGCCACATATTGCTGACTGCGGCGTTAAACAATTAACAAGCAAACACTAATTGTTCTACTGATCCAACACTGATCATATACACATACTCACTAATTACTCTGCTGTCTGTCACCTGTAAACAATAAAAGCCTATATAAAGTACAGTTCAAAACATGATAAATCCATTCCGACTGGCATGTGAAATCCCTGTTAAAGGCAGGGTCTATTATACTTTTCCGACTGCATTATAATCATGTGTTCATCAATTGCCATGAAATATTTCTGATACCAGGCCTGGTGATCGCGAAAGGAAGAACGGATTCTATTCCACCAGTGGCACGCGTCAAAACATGTACACATGCAAAGAAATGTCTCTTCCCCATCAATACCACATCAAATGCACACCGCCCTACATATCCCGCTCTCTTCTACATCCATATCTTATGGATGTCTGCCTTGATGAAAGATGATTATTCCAATGGCCGTATGGGCCAGACAATCCAGTGACTGGCAATATGTTTATCGCTTCATGGAATACAATAACATGATGTTTATGTCCACCCAATCCCCTTATTCGCCTCTTACGACAAGGATGGGATGCTAGTCACATCTTACCCGCAAATCCCACGGCTGTTACTCCATTTTACACTGTTAATTATGACTGTGTTTTCAGACTGATTTCAAATGTGCATTCATAGCAGACACATTTTAAACAAAACGTCAACTTACCACAGCCATGAACATCAGCAGCAGGGGGACTGGGATGATGTATTGAAACGTCACAATCCTTTCAGTCGTTACTGGAACCACAGATGTAGAAGCCGCCATTAGTGCAGGTGTATATTGCAGCTATTGATATGATTCGTGTATATAGCATGTAAAGTCAGTATATACTACAGGTGTCACATGTAAAGTCAAATAAAGCGGCAGGTATATATAACAGGTAAAGTCAGTGTTTGTTGAATGCTTCACAGGTAAACTGAATTGTAGCACGTATTACCTACAATAGATACAACCCGTGAAGGTCCGGGTTAGAATATATTTTTTTTAGTAACCCATGCTTGTAAGAGGCGACTAATGGGTTCGGGTGGTCAGGCTCGCTGACTAGGTTTACACATGTCATCGGTTCACAATTGCACAGATCGATGCTCATGCTGTTGATCACTGGATTGTCTGGTCCAGACTCGATTATTTACAGACCGCCGCCATATAGCTGGAATATTGCTGAGTGCGGCGTAAAACTAAACTCACTCACTACAACAGATACATTGCTGTCGATGGAGTGAGGAATGAGTTCGGTTTACGCCGCTTTTAGCAATATTCCAGTACTATCACGGCGGGGGACACCAGAAATGTGTATCACATATCGTAGCCACTGTCGGTGGAAGATTTAAAGTATCATTAACGGGGAGGCGGTTTATCCTAGTAGTAAAAGCGTCCACACGTCACCCGAATTCGATGTCCCACATGGGTAAAAATATGTGAATCCCATTTTGGTGTCCCCCGCCGTGATATTACTTAAATATTGTTAAAAGCGGCGTAAAACTAAACTCACTCTCATCGTACCTTTCTGATGCGTCCACAGTATGTTTTATGTTCTTTGTTGTCGATGTTTCTCTAGGCGTAAAACTGACCCGTGAAGGTCCGGGTTAGAACGAATCTTCAGTAACCCATGCTTGTCGTAAGAGGCGACTAAAGGGATAGGGTGGTCAGACTCTCTGGCTTGGTTGACACATGTCGTCGGTTCCCACTTGCGCAGATCGATGCGCATGCCGTTGATCACTGGATTGTCTGGTCCAGACTCGATTATTAACAGACCGCCGCCATATAGCTGGAATTTTGCTGAGTGCGGCTTAAAACTAAACTCACTCACTCACTAGGCGTAAAACTAAACTCACTGTTTCTGATGCGTCCACAGTGTTTTACGTTCTTTGGTGCCGATGCTTCTCTTGCCGCCCGTGCTGAATTATGAATCCATCCGAGAAATACAGGTAATTATATTCCTTATAGCGTTGCAGAGTCTGTGCCCCTATGGGTGTGGCATCACACCCCCTCACACCTTCGTATAACACACCTATCATTCACCAATCCTCCTAATAACGTGAACCATCTATATTCATAAGAGTGAAATGTACACACTCAGATCGAACGATTTCTTTATCAATAAATATCAATTCAGCCAAGGTATACTTATTTAACGACCCATCGCCCCAAATGTGTCTCCCAGGTGTTGAGTTTGACATGAGATACCTCTGTATAAGATTTGGATCAAAGGAGTATCAACAAGGGAGAGAGGCCGCATCAACAAGTTCTGCTATCTAATACCCCCAGGCGTGCGAGGAGAGAGTGACAGGAGTTGATGAGGACGTTCAGCCTGTTTCGTATGGGTACCACGTTTGTTTATTTGAATGCTAACGTTTTATTTGCCGACTTAAAATCAACACTTGTTCAAATGTAATCAATCGTAGTGAAAAACGGAAATACTTAGTATAAAAATTTCAAGAGTTTGTAATAGAAATATTTAAAACGAAAACATGGGGTTGCATGTTTGTTTACTCTGTGGACATTTTTTACGAGGTCTCTAACACGGATGTATTGTATGTTCAAGGACTGGTTGAAACGAACTCAGCCTAGCTATGTTAATGTCGCTGGCTGCTAACTTTGCTAACTTAATCTTCTAGCAAGTCTTCACACTCAAGAGTGAGTGTGTTCATTTTTACGCCGCTTCAGCAATACATTTTGTATTCCAGCAATTTCACGACGGCGACACGACAAATGTTTTTTACACATTGCACCCATGTGGGGAATCGAACCCGGGTCTTCTGAGTAACGAGTGAACCCTTTGACCCCTAGGCTACCCTACCTCTCCTGACGCTCATTAGGTCAAAAAACAACGTTAAAACAACGTTAAAATAACGTTAAAACAACATCTCTGTACCTAATGTATACGCGGGCTGTTGTCTATAATTCCTTAATGGCGAGGACAGCCGCGAAATCAGCAAATTTTCAAATGTAAATCCCTGGGAGGAATGCCTTTTAAAGTAAAAACTAAACTGTTCTGAACGATGATATGGTCCACTCTCAACAATGGAGTGGACAAAAAATTGGGGTATGACGGGCTTTAAACACTAGGCTACCCCACCGACCCCGGTTCAATGTAGAGCCACCCGGTTCTATCTCGGACTCAGCAAGCACGCCTCTAACCTGGCCATCACGTGATATCGGATGGACGTCCACCAACCGGTCCACGCACGCACGCACGCACGCACGCACGCACGCACGCACGCACGCACGCACACCTCCCTAGGTGAGACAGTGGGCCAGTGTGATTCGCCTGTGGGATCGCTCAGTGAACACGACGCCGAAACGGCTGAATAAGAAAGTAGCAATTAAGCAGCAATTACAAAAAGGAAAAGGAATTGGAATGTTAGAGTTCGTGAAGATTTTAATAAAATCCACTTGAATCATCTCTTCTTTGCAGAAATGAGAACAGAGAAGAAGCTGCTCGCGAAAACGGTAAAGAGAGTGATGTTTGATAACTTGAAGCCAAACTGGGAAGATACACTGAAGAGAGGAAATTATCGAAAGCTCAGGACTTATGTTACTATTAAGAAGCATTGTGAATGTGGGGAAATATGTCAACTATGTTAACTAAACAAGAAAGCAAGGAAGCGCACTAGCAAAATTCCAATTTGGTGTCGTCCCTTTACGCACAGAGGATATGAGCGCATCCCAGTAGAAAAAACGACTGTGTTTTAACTGCCCGGACTGTGTTGAAGATGAAGCACATGTTTTACTGTCTTGCCCATTATTTTATAATCTACGAAAGGATCTTTTAGAACAGTGTCTTTCAAAATGGTGTGTCATTGATTTTTTCCCATTTTACAGCAACTTACCTGTATATTTACGTGTGTTTGTTTTACCTTTTGTTTAGCCTGTATTAACATTCTAGAGCACAGGCGTTGTTCCATGTACAAATAACCTTTTATATCATTTTAAAATTTTGGTTTTGTGGTTTTAACAGCATAGTAGCATTTTATATTTTTACGGTTTTTAAATCATCTCTCATAAATCGTTCGACGATTGGTCGCTTGTATTCATTGCATCATATATTATGTAAGACATTTATATAGACCGTTTTATACAAGTGAGATGTAAGCAATAAAATTCTGCAATAAAATGTCAAGAGTTTTCTTCCTGCTAAAACGTTAAAGGACTCTTGTACATGACGCCATGTCACTCACAGTTTCCTCTAGGTGATTATTCTTATATATCCATCTCGCAACAGTCGTACTATTTTTAACATTATTTTATCACGGATGTGTCGAAATGAATGTGCCCAATCCACGATTGTCTCTAACAGTTTACTCAATTTAAAGCGCAACTGCGTTAAAATGTACTGTTTAATCGAAGTGAATTGAAAACCTCAACTAACTAAAAAAATATAAAAGTTCGCATGCGTATCGATTTTAATTGCCAGTACACGATACGATGCCGCGATAGGATGGATACTTCTGATATAATATTCTTTCGTTTACTTTCTGTTGTCAGATAGTAATGAAGACCTACTGGATGTGTCGAATCCGAGACACGTCGAGCTATTTCAATGCCTCAAGGAGATTTGATGTATGCAGCACGTGTGTGTGTGTGTGTGTGTGTGTGTGTGTGTGTGTGTTTGTTTGTTTGTGTGTTTGTGTGTCTCCGTATTTTGGTAGGTGTGTGTTTGTGTGGATTTATGTGTGACAGAACCCAATGAGATACATCAGTTTACCTCCACTCATGAGCAGGAATCAGCATCTACCTTCCTTTAAAGTCTTTGGATTGGACTCGGACAGGGACCGAACCGGTGTAACTATAGAGGCGTAATTGTAGAACAAGAAGACCAGCAATGATGGGAGATTCAGGTCAAAAATGAAGACTAAACCTTAAAGGTCTTGATACATCACACAGTACATGGAAACGAAAGGGAAATAGTATATGGTAATGATAATGGTCATTTATAAAGCGTCCGTACCCACGCACGTATAATAATAAATAAATAATGACTTATTCCACCGGGTACCCATTTACTGCTGGGAGAACAGAGGCAATTCATGAGCAAGCTCATTTGCCTAAAGTACGGCCACATTTGTCACTTGTGCTTTGTTGTGGGGCAGGACTGAAGTCCACGAAATTCTCCACACATTCTCGGCACAGCGATGACTAACATAACATCACTGCCACAGTCTAATTTGCATATCACGTGACCGGACTTTTCTCTTGTTTGTAAGCAAACGCGCATATTCATAATAAGAAGAGACTGGACTCACGATAGCTTTTCGGCGCTCTCTTCATATTGTTTTACATTGTGACATATATATTCTTCCACAACTGCGACAGTAAGGTCTATGACAGTACATATTTAGATATCAAACTGGCTGCATCGTTTGCTCTCCATCAGCTTCTATGACAGCACGTGGAGCCGTACAACCTATGTAAACAAAGAATCGCTACGCAAATCGAAATAGTGTTATATGTTTTTGGATATGTTCTCAGTGAAACTAAACCATTCTATTAAAGGTGTTTAGTTAGATGTGTAGACTCGGCAAAAATAAAAGAGTAAAAGAAATTTGTACATTATATTGAATGGACATTGCAAGATGTGACGAATCGTCACATTTTTCTGGCCTGTGGCAGAGGTACCATGCTGGCTTGCCGCATGGAACTCTGGGTAGGAGAGTGGAAATTCTCAAGAGTCAAACTGCCAAACACGGTCACCCATCCAAGGACTGTTCGCGACCAGATTAGTGACCTGGGCTCTATGCACAGGACCACACACCATAAGAATATGTATTCATTTAAGTCTGCAACCAAACCATGATTGACAAATGTTTAAAGATGTTTGTATACTTAGAATCTCCCGTGACTCATCCAACTCTACACAATTAGTGCGAATGACATCACTAAACAACATTAATTAAATGCACACCTAAGCTTTATCCTGTCTGAAATGTTCTTATTCATCTGTATAAATGTACACTTTCCGAGAGAACCTTTGATGTTTTCGCGAAATGATGGTTAGGAAAACACATCACGAACCCACAAATGTATACATTTACTATTTCCTTACACGTTATCTATGTAACTCTTATCACTTTCCTCGTGCAGCGACACGTTTCTGTTCCTTCTTTGTTCTGAGGATTTCTAATATATTTTTTCCTGACAAACAAGAGGAAAATACTATAGGGTATATTAGGCGGGTACACGATGGCTAGGCATTTTGAGTGTGTAGGAATGAGGGTCCCAGAATTAAATCGTAATGTGTTTATCAAATGAAGATTATTTTTACTTTGTGTCAAGAATCCCGCTACACGAAATCTGGATGTTAAAATTCATGACAAGCCTGTACGTGGTAATCGTGTCTTGACTGAGGGCTTTATTTTGTC